AGCCCTGGGGAACTCCGCTGCCCACTTCCCCCCAGGTCGAATATGACCTGTCCACCACCACCCTCTGAGTGCGACCCTTCAGCCAATCTGCAATCCATCTGACTGTGTAGGCATCAATGCCACAGTCGCCTAGTTTTTTAAATGAGGATGGGGTGGGAGACGGTGTCAAAGGCCTTGCTGAAGTCTAGAAAGACTACGTCCATGGCAACACCTGCATCCACTGCCTTTGTGACCTGATCGTAGAAGGCAATCAGGTTGGTCTGACATGACCTGCCCCTAATGAAACCGTGCTGGTTGCCCTTGAGCATCATCCCTGAAGCCGGCCCATCACAGATGTGCTCCTTGAGGATCTTCTTGAAGAGTTTCCCAAGGATAGAGGTAAGACTGACGGGCCTATAGTTGCAAATTGTGTTAAGATTTCTTTTATGGACATGTGAGTTTATGTCACACTGATATTATTCATATAGTTTGTACCAGAAAAATAAAACTATTAGAAAACACAGGAAAAACTGGTATTTTCTTTCATTTAATCTAATATGAATGCATTCATTAAGTATGAGCACCAGAAAATCTGACATCTCTCCATGGAAACTGTTGCTGTTTCAGAATATTTTATAGTAAATCAACTGAAAGATGCTTTTATAAAAATATGAACTGAAGAAAAACTCTCAGGTCTGACCAAAATGCATCCATGTTTTCCTACCAGCATCTGATTTCTCTTTGGGCCAATGTAAAGTCAAAATAGCAACAGTCAAATTAGCTTGTTTTTCATTGGTATAGACTTACCAAGTAGAAATCATGTAACCTTCATTCACTGAACAGACTCTCCATTCTGATGCACCTGTCCTTTTGATTTCTCTATCCCAATCAGAGTAAGCTTCAAACAAAGGAGTCTGTTGACCACTGCTTCCACCACCTCCTCCAGGATCTATTCCATTTACTTTTTTTGCTAGAAAAGGAAATTCATCAAGGCAAGATTTTTAAGAATACCCCTTGCACATTTGATCATGCTAATTACTAGAGTGGAATCTTTTCTAAATAAGAGGTAGGTGTTCCTTGCATCTTACATCTGATGCTGCCTCGTCATAGATTAACCAGTAGCGATACCTTCCCTATAGTTTGGTAATAAACAAGGGTGACTGTTGTTTCAACAGAGCAAGCTGTATGCAGCTCCTGTATTGATTCAGTTTCTAGAACACAAAGGCCTAGTTTGGAAACAGTGTTGCATTCATTTGTAAGTGATCTTTTTCTATATCTGCAGATTAAAAATTTCCTCGAACTGACCTGTTACAATGTACTATTTTAAAATACCATATTTATGCAAAACCGAGATGACTGAATTTAAGATGACCTTGCAATAATTAGATTCTATACATGGAACAATTATAAATTTATTATAAATGTATTATAATTTTCCATGTATAGAACCTAATTATTAGAGGGTCGTCTTTAATGTGTCTTGTTCCTACTGGGGAAAGTGGTGGCAAGGGGTCTGCCCCCCTTGCCCTCCCATGCTTTGCCATCCCTGTTGCCTGTCCCTACCTGCCTGCACAGCAAAGCGGATTGGGGGGAGGAAGGGGGGAGGCTGCAGAGGCAGCATGGGGCACACCAGCTGGAGGGAGGAGGGAGCAGAGGCCGCAATGGGGTGGGGCCAGAGTCAGAATAACAGCAGTCCTCCATCCCCCACCTCATACTTGAATCCAAAAATAAGGAGCTTTTACCCCCATGTTAAATGGAAGTAAAAAAACCTCAACTTGGGTTCAAGTAAATATGGTAGCTAACTGTTCTGGAAATTCAGCTAAAATTTGCTACTACTGATAAAAATTCTGAGAACAGATTGACTATTACTGAGCCACAAACTTTCCAGATAACACCTGCTTTGCCATCCTTTCCACTGTTCTAACAGTTTTGATTTAGGAGGTGCTTTTTCAGGAAACTCCTACATTCAAAAGAGCTGGAAAAGGTTCTTTTTGTTCTTAGTACAGGGACCAAGGCAAAAAAATGCTCCAGTAACAAGGCTTACTAATACATCACATGACATTACTCATTCTGACTGAACTGCTCTGCTGTTAAGAACAGCTTTGGTTCTCATACAAGAATGTTATTGTATACCATGTTACCAATTAATTAGTAAGATTTCCGCTACTGTTTTTTTCTTTTGAAACAAATTGGTCAATTGTGTTGAAAGCATGGGGCACGCTGTTTCCTGAGTTGAATTAAAAACATTCTATAATCTGATCTATGTGGGATCAGACAGGGCAAAGGAATCAGCTTGAACATAAATTGCAAGATGCTATCACCCCAATGATAGAGTGTCAGCTTACTCCTTTCATTTCACCAATTTCATCTTTCCAGTAGTTTTAGAAGACCCTTCCTCGAGTATGCTTTTCAAGAGAGACCCATTCCAAAATTGAGGTAAAGTGATATTACGGTAATGCAATTTCCTGCCACTTCTCTTACTACCTTACATTCCAAGTGTGACAACAAGTAGGAATCCTTTTTTCCTTATGTAAATCAGTGAGTAATTAAATTATATCTTTATATAAGTGTCTTTTAAACTGTTTTTATATTTTTTAAATTTTTTGGGGTTGGCTTTGGTTGGTTCCTCATAAATTTCTCTGAGGATATTTAGATACATATTTAGGTTAAATGTAAACATAATTATGTTAAAAAGTTCATGTCAGAACAGACGCTTTAAATTATTTTTGGTATCATCAAATTAGAGCCGCTGGCCTAGTTTTCTTTATGCTTCCTCATTTTTTCCTTAAAATGTATTAAATGAATAAATAGGAGCTCAGTCAGATCTCCAAAAAACACTCAAAGTTTTAGATTGGGTCATAAATGAAGATTAATTTGACACTCTCATTCAACCAGTCATTTGTGCATATCACAAAAGGTCAAGCTTATTCTGCTGGTCCCATATTTTAAAAGCTCTAATATTTGCCCACTTTAAAAAAAACAAAGTATAACGCATAAGGAATCTGTAAAAGATTTGGGGCCAGGTTTTGTAAGGTAATTAGTTGCTTAATGTTCCAGATAAATTCCACTAAGAGCTTCAGTAGTTTAGATGCCTAACTCCCACCTAACCTGCTGAGACACTTCTGTATCTCCCACTAGGTTCCAACCTGCAGCTTTGAGCATATCACACCTTCGAGTGCCTGGCCCTTTACTTCCAACTGTGAGGGTGCTATGGCAAGGCTTTGGCTTTACTTGCAATCCAGAGCTGTCACACATGCCCCCACACACAATTAAAACAGCTGGAATTTTAGGCAAAGTGAGAAATAAAACAATTGTGGAAAGGAATTAGAATTTTCATAACGTCTTTTCACCGCAGAAAATGTTAGCATAATTAATATACTGGTACAGGGAGCTTTTTCAGATAAAAATAAAATGTGTTTGTTTTGGATAACAAGTTATGATCACACCAATTAATTTACACACAGAAACTAAAGGCTTTGGGTGCAGTATAAGTCCATTTCAATTATCTCCTAATATGTACTGGGGAAAAAAGAGTGTATGAATACAAGAGACACTATTTTAAAATAACTATATGGGTTTGATATTTTCGAAAGCACAGAGGAGAGGAAAAAAAATAATGGGAAAACTCTGAAGCACCAATTTTTTACAGGACTGGCAGGGGAGCAGGCTGGGTAAAACCCAGGGCTGGGGCAGGGATCCCAGTCAAACACGAGAACACTGAGCAGAGACTTCCCTTTCAGGAATGTCTGCCGGCTCCCTCCCCCTAGCCACTGTAGCCCAGCAAAACCACTGGCCACATTGTCACTGGTTTCCTGCCCCCATTAGTACTCTGAAACTCCAAAAGGGTATTCTGCTTATTTTACCCACTTCATGTCATGCAACTCTTCTACTGGCCTTTCTTTCAGGTAGCACAGCCATTTCATGGACAGAGTAAAGATGGCTTTGTGAAGGCTGTGATAGACACAGCATTTTATTAACACCTTTCTTTCTCTCTCCAGTATCCCGCTACGGTTTCTGTAGATTTGCTCCCTACTGCATCATGCAGCTGGAGGGAGTGTGTGGACTTTATTTAACACTCTCTTTAAACGTTACTGCACACACTTAAAGTGTGTCCATCACACAAGCACATAAAACATTATTGTGCCCATCACGCAAGCAAATATAAACTTTCATCTGGGCACTCAAGGTGGAGTTATGTGGACACATGTAGAAAATGAGCATGCCCATTTGGGGCAAGTTTGAGAATCTGGCCTTTTTGTAGACCCCATGCTGAGTTCCTTTAGTGGCGAGATCATTGGTTTCTAATGCAAATGGCAGAGTAAAGATATTAAATAAATGACATACATCTAGAGCACTTTTCATATTTGGAAGCTTACTGTAATGGATTTTTTAACTTCTGGCTGTGTATTGGCTGGGGAGCACTAAGCAGTGACCTCACAGCATTACACTAGAAATCAAGATCCAAAGGCATCTTTTCCAAGCTTACCTAACTGACAAGGTTCAGTTGGAGATTGGCCTTGAGCAGAGAGGGTGAGCTCCAACTCAGCAGGGGTGGTGGAAGATTTGAGTGGGAAGAACTGCCTAGTAAGCCTCTAGGAAAGGAAGTATGGAGTCCCAAGTTGCATAAATCCTCCTGCAATACCACCAGAAGAGAAACTTACTCCTAACAGAAGGCCAGGTGAACAAACCTGCCTGGGGATTTTCTGGGTGTCCAGAGTACCAATACAGACCCACAATAAGAGAAATGGAGGGTAGATTGAAAAATAATGCTATTCATGCTGGTATAGGGAGCTTTTTCAGATAAAAAAAATAAAATCTGTTTGTTTTAGATAACAAGTTATGATCACACCAACTAATTTACATACAGAAAGTAAAGGTTTTGGGTGCAGTATAAGTCCATTGCAATTATCTCCCAAAGCAAACCTCAAATACTTCTTTCCCTTGCTTTAATACAAAAGTCTCCAGCCTTACTACAGTTAGAACAACTGCACATGTTAAAGAATGGAAACTATGAACAGATTTTGGTTCATTGTTACCTGGATTATGATACATTTTCCCAACATATTCAAATGCAAAGAGCAGCTGAAGATCTGTTGGCTGAGAATAGTGAGCAATTGCAAGGCACACCTAGGGGGAAAAAAAGAAGATGCTGGTTTTTCACTCTTCAAGCATTATTAAATATAAAGTACTTTATTGTAAGAATCAAGACAACTTAAATATATTACCATGGATTGTAGCACTGTAAAAATGTGTAAAATGAGGTAGATTAAAGATAATCTTTTGAGGTACTCTTTCCAGGTTTGACCGGAAAACAGGATTACAATATATTGTTACAATTGGTTAAGTGCTAATATTTGGTGAGAAAGCATTATCATCATCGAGATAGGTGATTTTCTTTTGACTGCCCATCAGGAGCAACTCAAAAGTATACACTGACATAACAACAGCATTTCTTAGTGTTGAAAACAAAGATCTGTTTGTACCAGAAAGGGCAGCCAGCTTTAGCACTTCCAAACTGTTCTTTGCCAAAAGAAGTCCAGACTGTGGGAGCAAGACACTGAACTGCCCTTGTGAATTTATACACACGCATGGGGAGGACAGGGGAGCAAAGCCAGACAAGAGCAGAAGGCACCTGTGCAGTGATGAACCACACAGGGCCTCACTCCTGGCTGGTCCTTTGGCATTACTGCAGTATGTGTGATAAGCAGCAATAGGTTTCATGCACTAGAGCACAACCTTTGACATTAATGTTTTGAAACAGCCTCGCATTTTCACTTGCAAGACTTGCAGGAGTTATGACAGCCCTGCATCTAAGTAATTCCTGTTCACGGATGCCTTCAAGATTTCCGGAGTAAAAGTCAAGAGACTCACAAAAGTTTCCATTCATTAGACTGGGAAATGCTCTCCTCCTGCTGGATGCTTCTGGCTTGTTTTTTTAGATGGCCAGAGCACTTTCAAAATTTCAGTGAAGCATCCAATGAGAGGTACAGATGGCAGGTGTTACTTGACAAGGTACAAGGACCTACAGTTAATTAGGAGTGTTAAAAAGCAGACTCTTTCCCACTTGCTGAGAAATTCTGGAAGCTGATGGATCAGCCAGATGATCTGGGAAGTCTCATGTCAGCCTGATAACTGGGCCTGGCCCTCAGAGACTCACCTCGGATGACTGGTTTTTAAACAAACACCCTCCATATTAAAATACCTGTAAGCCCAGCCTTTCCAAGAACCTGATGAGATGGCTAGGCTAGAGCAGGCTGAGTCATGTACCTTGCCTAAGGGCACTACTGCAGAGTCTCAATTGGAGAACAAGTACATCCCTGCCACGTCAACGTAAGAAACAGCTCCTGCAAGTAAGTCTGTATGTGGCCCCCATAGGGAGAGAAGGAGGGAGTTGGGCAGGGGTGGGGCTGCTGCCCAGCCTGGTGGTGTGTGGGGCTTGGGGCCATGTGTGGTTGCAGGGCCCTGGCGGGGAGCAGGATGGGGCTGCAGGGGGCTCATCCAGGGGGAGTGGGATTGACTCCCTGCCACTCCGCACACTCCTGGGGTGGCAGGGTAGGCACATGCCCCCACGATCTGTGCATGGGGGGCAGTCTGCCCGCTACTGCAGGTTCCCCACCCTGCTGCCCTTCCCCAGGGCCTCCACAGCCTGGTGGGTGGGACCCAGGATGGCAGAGCACAGCGGGACCAGGTGGGGAGACTCCTTGCCACTGCAAGCCCCACAATTCCTTGGCAACGCACCCTCTGCCTGCCTGGTAGCAGCAAGGGGCACAACCCCGCACTGCTATCCCCACTGCAGCCAGGCAAGCAGGGGGCTCTTTGCCAGGGCAGTGCTGGGCTCACAGCTGCAAGGAGCTTCCCACCCAGCCCCACTCTTTCTTGCCACACCTGCTGGGCTGCAGAGGCCCTGGGGAGAGGGTCACAGGGTCGGGAGCCCAAGCCCACAGCCTGCATCTGCCCTGCCCCAGGCACAAATATGGGGGGCATGTGGCCACCCCACTCCTCCCAGGGAGTGCACACAGCAGCAGGAAGCTGGTCCTTGCCTGTCTGAACCTGTAGTGGACATCCCACCCCTCAGCCATGGGCTCCACTTTGGCTGTGCCACCCATGGGAGAGGGGAAGCCAGGCTCCTTGCAGAAGCTGTCACCTCCTGTGGGTGGCAGCTGGGGCTCAGCTGCTGCTGTGGGGGGCCCTGGCAGAGGCAAATTATAAGAGAATTTGCAATGTTTTTTTACCAGAATCCGAGTGCCAGTGTCCCAAGCAGCCAAGCAGTCTTTCCTGTGCCATTCCTGTGCTCTCTGTCCTCACTCAGACTTCACTATCTGCCCAGGGACGGTCCCTTTTCTCCCGCCTGCCCCCTGGGACCTTCTCCTTTCCCCCCAGCTCTCTCTGAGTTTCACTCATTCTCCTCAAGCCCCATCAGATACACTTGCAACAAAACAGGAGTCTCACCCAATACAATGAAACACGGCTTAGGGCATTAAAGGGCAGTGTCTGTGGCTTGCTTTCAGGCCTACATTATCATGTGCCCCTGGGGTGAAAAGGACATTTAGATGTCCTATTTAGGGACCTACAAGCATTATTTACATTAAAGCCTGCCCACGCGGAGCCCCTCACTGGAACTGCAGGCTAGATCTTAGCCCACCTCATTACACTAAGATTCAAACAACCTTCCCCAGTTTACCCAAATATGCCTCTTTCACTTCACA